AGAACATAACCTGTCCAATTCTAACTGGCAGCTTTGATGGGAGAGCTGTTTTCAAAATGCTAATGCCCAATTATTGATCTAAGAGAAGCCTGGAATACACTAAAACAAACAAACAAAAAACCCATAAATATTTTTATTATAAAAAACTTCAAACATTTACAAAAGTAAAGATAACAATTCAATGAATTCCACGTAACCATTACCCAGTTAAAATATGTTCAATCTTGCTTCATTTAAATCTCCCCTACTTCCCTTCCTACCTTGTCTCACTCTCAAGAATTGGAAAACAAATCCTGTACAACATATCATACCATCCATAATATTTCAGCATGGCTCTTTAAAAAAGATGGATTTCTTTTGTAAATAACAAAACCACAATATAATTATCTCACCTAAGAGGTTATGATTCCTGAATACTGTCATGCACGGCTTAACAACAGAAATCTGTTCTGAGAAACACATCATTAGGCAATTTCGTCATTGTGCAAACATCATAGAGTGTATTTACACAAAACTAGATAGTACGGCCTACTACACACCTAGGCTATACGCTAGCCATAGGAGAAACAGGAGCCTATTGTTCCTATGCTACAAAACTGTGCGACATTTTACTGTATTAAATACTGTAGGCAACCGTAACACAATGGTAAGTATTTATGTATCTAAACATATTTGAACATAGAAAAGGTACAGTAAAATTACGTTATTATAATCTTGTGGAACCACTGTCACATATCCAATCTGTCACTGACCAAAACATCATTACGTGGTGCATGACTCTCTAACAAATATATAATCAATGTTTTAATTTTCCCAACTTTCTTGTAAATATATATTTCAAATATTTTTAGAGTTTCTATGTTTAAGTCAGGAAGAAATAATCCCATATATTGCAAGTGGTTATTTTCCCTAAAATGCTTTGATCTTTACAGGCAATCCCTCTCCTCTTCTCCACACTTTTTCTCTCCCTTTTCTTTCCTTCTTCTGTCCTCCTCCCCTCTTCCTGAAATTTATTTATTGAAGAAAACAGGTCACTTTTCCTATGGATTTCCTAGCTGGATTTTGCTGATTATCCCCATGATGTCATTAAACATGTTCTCTTGTCTCCTGTACTCGCTGCAAGTAGGTAGCGAGATCCAGAGCAGGGACTGACAAACTTTCCCTGTAAAGGATCAGACAGTAAGTATTTTTGGCGCTCCAGGCCATATGGTCTCTGTAACTGCTATTCAACTTTGTCTGTAAACAAAAGCAGCCATAGACAGTATTAAGTGAACCTCCGTGATTGTGTTCCAACAACACTTAATTTACAAACACAGGCATCAGAAATGACTGGCCTGAGGGCTGTAATTTGCTGACTTCTAATTTATGGGCTTATTCAGATGTTGATTCAAGCTTTTAGCAAGAATATTTCATAGACAGTGCTGCACACCCTCATCAGGTGGCATATAATGCCTGATTGCCCTTCTCGTGATGTTGACCCCCATTGGTGATCATATCTAGGTGCTATCATTTCAATAGGGACTGCAAAATGGGAATATTCTTTATCCCTTTGGCACTTATTAGCTTGAGTACTTCTATAAGAAGAAACTTTCCCTCTCAATGATTTTGTTAACATGGGATATAATTCATAAAGGAAAGGCAGAATAAAAGCTTTCTTCTTTCATATGTAAACAATTTTCAATATAAGTTGGTTACTTAGCATCTTCCAAAGGTAACCAATGAGGGATTCTTTTTTTCTTTTTTGGTATTATGAACTCTTGGGTTTAAACCTTATTAAATGTTTTCAATCCACTGTGGTTATTATTCTTACTGATGTTCCAATTATCCCATAGATAGCCAGTGGGAGCCTCTTCAATTTGACTCCTGAGAACTTTTGATATACCCTCAGTAGTCCTTGATACCATCCTTCCTATGCTATCTGTACGTCCAAATATTCCAGTCTAATCTTGTACAGTTCCTGCTCTAGACCAAAATCAGCTATATCCCCAAGGAGTCATGGGTGGAGGAGCTCATTGCTGCTTGATTAGTTTCTAGAGTATTTCAATGAAAATATTAGGAAATGTGTATATTTTTAATAGATGAGATTTCTCATGAACCCACATTCATTCATACTGATACTTCCAATTCCAATTTAAATGAATCTCTTCTATCTTGTTTCTGTTTCGCCTTTCCTCCATGCTCAAAATCCTAGTTCCCAAAGATACCTATACAATTAGTTGGTTGCTTTATTCCCCCTGCAATTCTAGCCAAGACTGAGCAGACTGGATTGAAGACCAGCTTAGGTGAGGTATAAATAAAGAGCTTAATTTCTTAGAAAAGGACTTTTGCACTTTTTGAATCTTCTGTATCCTTCTGGGTCTCAGGCTATTAATAAGTAGGCACAATCATCCCATAATGGCTCCTTCAAACTAGGGACACAGGGCCCGTGGATTTCAGAAGTTTCAGTGAGAAAGGTGGAAATCAAGTGCATTTATGGGCTGTCACCACCTACTGCTCCTATGGCCCTGGTATGGGGTGACTGTGTCAGTCAAAGGCTAATTGGCCACTCCTCTATGGTTATACAGGAAATGAAAAATGCATTTATGAACAAAAGTTGTTGCTATCAAAAGATTACACCAGAAAGGGGGTAAAAATGGAAGTCACAAACTCTTCTCATTTAAGTTTAGATGAGGGCAGGAAAGCTACATATATGAATATATTTTATCAGTATACCGATAAAGAATAGAACAACTATGTAATATATTATACAGAATATATATTAATGTATTATATATCCTATCTCCAATTATTAAACATTAAGTACCTACCACATGCCAGGCACTGTGCAAGACCCTGGGGAATCAAAGATAAATAAGACACACTCACTAACTTTGGGGGAAACAGAAATGTAAGGTAGATAAAAAGCTATTTAAAACACAATAATACAGGTGAAAAAGTGGATTTCACTCATAAAGGTAAGATTAATTCTGGACAGGGAAAATTAAGAAAGGTTTTTTTGTCAGAGCTACTTTTTTTCAGTTCGGTGGCAAAGAATAGGAAGTGTTTTAATATCCCAAGCTGGAGATTTCTTAAGCACACAGGAGGCCTGCCTCTCTGACTAGGAGGATACACCCCTATGAAGTTATCATCCAACTTCATGGGGAGATGGCGCAAGCCTGAAGTTGCCTGTAGAGGAGTGGAACCACACCTCTGTTGATCATGAGCTGAGCCTGGGAGCAGAATGTTCTCCTTCCCCAATTTTAAAGCCCTAAAACAATATATAGGGCCTTTCCCTACCTAAAGGTCCATACTAGATGTCCCATAGACCACCATGAGCTTGTAATATCAGAGAAGAGAACCATGGCAGTCTTTATAGGAGAGTATAATCTGCCTCTTAAGCAAGTTAATAATAAGGATGAGTCTATTCCTGAGGGTTCTCTCACCCATGCATCCCAAACATCCACTACCACCCCATCAATTCCTGTTTTAATTTTCCCAGACGAGGTGTATCAGAAGGTAAATGCCCTAATGAGAGATGTTGCCACAATATACAGGAAGGAAGACAAGGAGTGGGTGGGGGAATTTAACAAACAAAATCTTCTCTATGAGGAGAGGAAAGAAAGTGAGGAAGAGATGCAAAACCAAAAACATAAGTAATAAAAGAGAAAATAAAATCACTCAGTGGGAGTTGAAGCCACCTTTATGTCTCAGACAGTTTGCAGCAGATGCTTTCATCTCATAAAACTAGGATTTCTGTTAAAATAAGTCTATGCACAAACCAGATTATTCTGACCTTAATAAGAATAAAAAAGAAGAATAAGGGTTATATGACCTTAATAAGAATAAAAAACCAAGCAACATGTTATCTTTTCATGGGAGATTTAAGCTTTTGTCTTCTAAAAATGTATTTATTATGATACAATATATAAATATCATAAGATAAATATCTGAAGCCTCTTCTACTGCTTTGATCTCCGTTAGCTTTGTTTCTTGGCCCTATTTGCCAACACAACCCAGGAAAGAAAACTTGCTTTCTAATCTCTGATGGAGTAGGGTTTATGTTTTGTTTACCTGCAGCTGTGTCTTTTTCCCCCATCTGTTTTTGGTGTATGTGCAGATACCAGTGATGTGAGACAACAAAGCTAAAGCATGTTGTTTGCATTTCTTATCAAAGAGCCTATCATATTTTCTAAATAATAAGTAAGTTTATGCTTAAGCTTTGATGCATTAAGGGAAAGTGAAACCTTAAAGGAAAAGTTCACTGGCAGCATGACTATGCTAACCATTTAAAAATACGATGAAACGCTTTAAAAAACATGAAATTGGAGTGGTACTAATTGTCTTCACATAGATGGGCCTGAATTGCTTGTACCTTGGGCCTTTCAGGGGAGCTTATGGCCACTTCCAGGGGCTGCATTGAAAGGGCTACCAACCAGGACAAAGATTTTCCAATATCAAGTTTTGTTAACCAGAGGTAAACTATTTTCTTTCTGCCCAGTTGATTTAGTCTTTTTGTAGTTTAGTTTCTATATGTATGGATAGAAATGTCTGCTAGTATCTAAGGTCTAGAAGATTGTAGAATATCTAAGATGGGAAAGAACCTTAGAAATAGTTCAGTCAGCTTTCATAGATAATAAAAATCAATGGACCCAGATGGTTAAATGACTTTTTCAGAGTGACATATCTCAATGTTGGAACTTATTGAAGATTATTCTAATCAAATATCAGAATGTAATCCTCTAGAAGAGGCTAAAATATACACATTTCAAATTAAATATTACTTTTTCTTAGGAACACATACAAAAATACTGAAAAAGTATTTTTATTTATTATCAAAAAATAAGGGCCACAGAAATAGTGAAAATCAGAAGCAAAGACATATCCTCAATTTAGTATCCAAAGCGGCAATAAGAAACTTTCATAGAGGATAGAGCTTAAAGTACGAAGTAAAGGAGGTATAAAATGTACCTCTTATGATGTGTTTTTTTCAGCAAAGGATTCCTATATATACAATACCATACCTTTTTAATTTCAGATTTCAAATGACAAGGGTTACTCTGCTGGCTGAAGAGGGATTTCTTGAATCTCTCTATAATCCTTCTTTTCAAATTGTGGTGCAAAGCTGGAGGGAGCTGCATAAAATAAGAAAACAATCATTATAAACAAATTGTTAACACTACACAGCTGACTGAAAACGCATTCACTGAGGGCCCATGTAACAATATTCACTCAATAGGACTACATAAGAATTTAAATTTTACAGCAAATAGCGTGACTAGATGCTATAATTTCTTACCCTGCAATTCAGAAGGAATATATTATTTTGCTCTTTTTCAAATGGCTGCTTCCATTTATCTTATTGTTTCTTCACTGGTTGATATTATTGTTCATATAACACATTATTTGTTAATTGCACACGTATATTGAATTTTGTGAAGAACAGCCTTGACACAGAATGATGCACTTTTGTCAGATGTTTAGGTGCTTATAATATGGCCAGAACCATGCCAAACACTGCAGCCGTGGTACTACAGGATCCGACACTTTGGACCAGGAAACACACATCTGCATCAGTAGTATATACAGTCAGATGCCTGTCTGGGAGTGCTCCTGAAAATTCAGCTGCAGAGAGGTCAGATTTAGGTACCAATCATTCCAGAAGAAAGAGAGGATAGATTAGTATATATTAAGACCAGACCAAGATGAGTTACATTTAGTAAGTGAGTAGTAGAAAGTCATGGTAGGACCCTAGAAAACATGGTAACCAAAAAACTGGGGATTAAAAAAATGATTTGTCATGCTTTGTAGGTTGGATCTCTATAAGAAAATCAGAAGTCCTGGAAAGCACAGAAAGATGAAGTGACATTCAGAAGAAGGATAATAGAAAAGAAATTGGGTCAGGATTAAAAGGATCTCAGAGTGGAAATAATATTTGGTTTTATTTAAATTATGGAGAGCACTTGAAGGGAGAGAAAGAGGAACCAGTCAGAATAAAGATGGCTAAGTGGAAAGGAAAACGTGATAGTAAGAGATCTCAATATTAAACAAGAATAGAATTCAAAGCTCAGATCAAAAGAAAGAAGAATGTATCAGAAATAATTATTACCTTTTCTAGGCTCCCTTACAGGTTTAGTTGGTACCATGTGACTACTTTTGGCCAATAAAAATGATGTGTGTCACTCTGAGGATAAGGCAATTCAAAGTCAGTATGTTTTCTCCACCTCTGTCCTCCCTACAGCAAGGAGCTTGGCATTACCATCCTATTCTGACCACGCAGCCACAAGAAGGAACAGAGCCACCTGAGCAGCCCAACTGGAACTGAGTAAGAAATAAATCTCTATTGTGTCAAGTCAAGGAATTTCAGGGTGTAACTGTTCTTGCAGCATAACTTACCTTATCCTATTTACTCAAGTTTTGTGAGACAGGAGGACATATAAAAGATAATGGTAGAGCAAAGAATAGGGCCTACAGGGAGGGGCTCACAATGCAGATTGCACAACCAAATAAAAACTTTTCAACATCCCAAACACAGTAGAATGTAGGGCCCATTATGAAGTACTGTAATTATATAAAACAGGAAAATAATTCAGTTGAAAATGTTTTAAAAATATATCTTTGGCCGGGTGCAGTGGCTCACGCCTGTAATCCCAGCACTTTGGGAGGCCGAGGCAGGCGGATCACCTGACATAAGGAGTTCGAGACCAGCCTGACCAACATGGAGAAACCCCATCTCTACTAAAAATACAAAATTAGCCAGGCATGGTGGTGCATGCCTGTAATCCCAGCTACTCAGGAGGCTGAGGCAGGAGAGTTGCTTGAACCTGGGAGGTGGGGGTTGTGATGAGCCAAGATCGTGCCATTGCAGTCCAGCCTAGGCAATGAGAGAGAAACTCCATCTCAAAAAATAAAAAATGTATCTTTGATCCTAGTGTTTGAGTCCAAATAAGTTTAATTAGTGAGGAAATAAGACTCTTCTGGAGATATTGAAGCACTTCAGTGTACTTTGAAACGTTTTGTAGGTTGGCAGCACTGACCTCTTTTCATGTCAATATTATAGCTTCCTTTTGCCTTAATCCAGATGGGATCCCTCCCTCTACTCCCAGCAAATAGTCATAATTGTTATTGTCCTTTCACATGAAATGAAAGCAGGAAATTTAAAAAATGTGGAAGAGAGAGAAAGAAGAGAGAGGAAGGAGGGTGCAGGGAGAGAGAGATTTCTCAGCATTAAGGAGCAAATCAAAGAAAGATGAGAAGGAAAATGAGTATAAATGATATATGTGTGAGAGAGAGAATAGCAAAACAGAAATGAATTTAACTTAGAATAGAAACAGACATGAAGGTGAGGAGCATGTGCATGTATGTTCCTAGCAGGAAGACGGGATGGAGTGATGAGGGGACCAGAAAGTACCTGGACAGAGCACAGGTTTAATTCCCTTTTGTAATGTACCAAAAGTTGCCACTTCCCCAAACCAAACACCAGAGAGCAGTGTTGGCCCAGAACCCTCTGGTTGCTGCCCAGCTGACTGCAAGGGGCTGTCAAACAGAAAGGCAGCCAGCCTTCTCTGCTATGACTAACTTCTGAAAGTCTGAAACACCCGTGGGATGATAGCTTCCTTCAAAGGGGACTTAACCCACTGCGGAAGCTATGAGTATCAGATGATTAATTCAGGTACTCTGAGAATTTTTGCAATTTATTTAACTTGAGAAGCCTCTAGTTAACTTACGATTGTTTTTATTATTTTACTGCTCCTGATGGCCTGAAGTAAGCCTCAAAAACTCATTTGAGTAAGTTAACATTCAGTCAGCTTAAGCTGCATATATATGAGAAAGCTATTGATCTTACTGGAATAATTATCACAATGGACAGCACCCCATCTTTAAAGCTTTCATGCAAGAATTTAAAATTTTACACAAAATAATGACTCATGCATAGCTTAATTGCAGGTGATATAAACATAATAATATATAAGGACTATAATACTAAGAATAGAATATTAATGTCTATGATTCATTTGAGCCAGACACTATGGCTACTCATTTATGTGCAGTCTCACTTTTTTCTTCACAAAAAACTTAAAAAGCAAGTACTATTTCATAGGTGAGGAAGTCAGAGCTTAAAGGCATTATGTAACATGCGAGAATACTTTCTGAGCAGTGCCTTCTAGCACAGTCATTATTCTAGAACAGATGCCACCACAACTAGCATTACTGTAGGACAGCATTTTATAGTTTAGAAACATTTTCAGCCAGGCACGGTGGTTCATGCCTGTATTCCCAGCACTTTGGGAGGCAAAGATAGGAGGAACGCTTGAGCCCAGGAGAGTTCAAGACCAGCCTTAAGCAATATGGCAAGATCCATCTCCAATAAAGAAACAAATAAACAAATACTTTTACATACTTTATGTCATTTGAGGCAAATAGTCTCATAAACTCCCCCATCTTACAAATGAAGAAACTGATTCTTAAAAAGATAATTACTTCCTCAAAGTCACACACCTAAAAGTTTGGTTTTTGTTTGCTTGTTTTTACTGTACTACACAAAGTAACAAAATAATGAAAACCGATCTGCATGTTTTATACTAGGTTTTCTCAAACTTGTATAATACTAATATTGGAATAGAATATAAAGATTTCTATATGTGGAAGAATATATGGATTCTTTTAAAGAAATTTCTATATTCTCTAGTATCTCCAAGAACACATCAGAAGACTATCCATTGCTCACAGGACTCCATTTGATACTTAAGTTAGTATCTAATTCTATTTTTAAAAAAGTTATTTTGACATTACTGCTAAGAAGATATTTCCCTAAATGCTAAAACAGAATGTTCAAAGACTGTCATCAAACTAAATACACAAAACATAACACTTCTCTTAGAATTTACAAAACCTGAAAATGGGAGTCAATTTAAGAAATACAACTTTACCCTAAATATCTCATTCTGTTAAATCTTGGTCACCCTTGCCATTAGTACAGGAGATCCAGATGAGCAGATGTGGGTGGTTCTAGTCTTATCCATCACTATTGGTGAAAAAACACAGAACGTTTCACCAATGACAGTCAGTAGCATAATTTTCATTGGAGGACAACACATTGCTATTCCGAACCACATTTTTTTCCATTGGCAATAACTGTGGTTGTGAAGATGGGCAATCCAAAGGCGCTTCAGATAAGTGGCTTGCCTGTTCTCTAGGAGACCAATATTTGATTTTTTTTTTTTTTTTTTTTTTTTGAGACGGAGTCTCACTCTGTCGCCCAGGCTGGAGTGCAGTGGCACCATCTCGGCTCACTGCAAGCTCCACTTTCCAGGTTCACACCATTCTCCTGCCTCAGCCTCCCGAGTAGCTGGGACTACAGGCGCCCATCGCCACACTCGGCTAATTTTTTGTCACACTCGGCTAATTTTTTGTATTTTTAGTAGAGATGGTGTTTCACCATGTTAGCCAGGATGGTCTCGATCTCCTGACCTCGTGATCCACCCGCCTCGGCCTCCCAAAGTGCTGGGATTACAGGCATGAGACACTGCGCCCAGTCCCAATGTTTATTTTTTAAAAGATGCTATATATCCTGATTTTCAAAGCATCTATTTAACAAAACAATCTAAATGTTAAGTATAAAGTTAAATCCAGTGCTTCTTTGGGCTGTGCAGGTATGTCCTAAGCAATAACACATAAAGACTCACACTAAAAGGTAACATATGTACTTTAGTCACCTTATATGCCCAAAGGTAGATTTGGGGTTCCAGCAATAGAAATAAACCACTGATTTCATTCTTAGCTTGCTGGTCTTAAGATTACCATTTGTTTTGATAAAAATAGAGGTGAAGTCAGTAAGAAAGCAAGGTAAGGATTTTAACATCCTGCCTTATAAAATAGTTGCTTTTAGATGATTTTCACTGATCTGTCTCCATCAGTGGAGACAGGAAAGGCCACCACCAACCAAAAGTAAGAAGTTTCCTTGTAAGTTCATCTGCTGGTTGTCAGGAGATATGCGGCCCCTCAGTTCAGGGCAGCCACCAAGTGTAAGTCTGGAGAGTTTGACTAGTAAATAAATATGTGAAAAAATTGTCTTTTTGTCTGTTTTTCCAATGCATTCTCACTTTCAGTCTTCCTTTGCAATTAGCAGAGTTAGAAAACTCATCTTGGTCTTTAACCTATAGCAAATAACACTAGTATAATATTTACGGGTATTTTTCTTTTTTGTTTGAAAGTCATTGACTTTGCTTAGCACTGTAAGTTAAAGTTCCTCAAAGAGGAATCATTCCCGACTATGTGCAACGTCACCAACTTCAGAGTATTCTGGAAATACATTTTAAAAATCACAATAGTTATATTTGAACTTGTAGCAAGGAATGCCATTCTGCCAAAAAATATGAAATCATTTGTTACACTGGCGGTTCAAGAGCATAATAATAAGATATTTATAATAGTTTTATTCTTGCTTTAAACTACTTTGAAATCCAACAAGAAAATGGCAAATATAAAAAAGTTTTTTATTACATAAAAATTAGCAAGACAGGCATATGAAAATTATATTTAAATTTCAAAGGATATTTCTCTCAATTTAATAGTTAATAGTTAAGAGAACTAAAAAGCTATTTAAAGCTATTTCCATAACACTAAAGTTAAGAATGCTTTTTCCATATTTCTATATCAGTATTTAAATGGATGTGCATTAATATAATCACTTTACTCAATATAGATATGGCAGATTATATTTTGATGTATTAATCAAGCTTTCCCCAATATTTCCCTGTACACCCTCACCCTCTTTTATGTAATTAGTTACACAATTCTGTCATTGCCTAACAGAAAGCTTGACAGCAGAAAACAGAAAAGTAATCAGTTTTGGACTCCTGCATCTCAAAAAGGCAGCCATCGGGAAACAGAAAAGAGCACCAGAGTTTGGACAAAACTTGACAGATAAGACCCAGGCTACTCAGCCCCAGGCTTAAAGACTACCTAGGCTAAAGGGAAAGCAATGAGAACTCAGAGGTATGGAGACACCAAAGAAGGCAGTTCCTTGCCTAGTCCCCTAGGTTAAGTGTGCCAGCAAGCAGCCTGTCAGCTTATCCAGCCTGTAATACTGGAACATTTCTCCCTTGCCATCTGGCAGGATGCTAAGCTGTATCAGAAGAGAGCCCTGGAGGGACGCTGGAGGAGGATGGATCTTGTTTCTTGGCTCCAGTGATGCTCCTGCGTTGCCTTGCTGCGGCAGCTCATAGTAAAGAGCACAGGTAGGACCCCGAGACGTTGGTGCTAACCCCTAGTCAGATCCAGTGGTATTAACTCTGCGGGTAGCTCCCCAGAGAATTCCATGGAGCAACATCTAACTTGGGGTGGCCTCCCCTGGTCCCATGGAGGGTGCTACCCAGCACAACACCCTCAAGTGCTGATTCCCAGCAAGTTCCAGGGCATAGTACCTCACTGTGGAGGGCTTGCCCAGGTCCCACAGAGAGACACTTCGCTTCAAGTTTCTCCAGCATAGCACCTTACTAATTTTTCTGATCTTTGCAGGAAGGTCAGGACTTCGACCCAGCGTGGGAGTGTCCACTTCTATATTCGTTCCTTTCTTGGGTACTCTGCCTCAGCCCTAGAAGTTGTGACTTCTTGATGTGCTCTTCCTACATTCTTTAGATTTCTCTTCCCCTCCCTAGTAGATAATACTCATCATAGTTAATAATTCTTTATATTAAACCTTCCCTGTTGAAATTATGGTATGGTTTCTGACTAGACCCTCACTGATACAGATACAGGTTTTAGGAATGTCCCAGAAGAGCCCATACAGATAGGATTTGGGAACTGGTTTGATTGTGCCCTTGGAACTGAGTCCAGTGCTGAGTTTTGTTTGTTCCTTTGCTTGTTGCCAATAGGACATGGGATGCTAGTAATCCATGGCATGCAGTTGCATCACAATTAATCAGGTTATCATCCTGATGAAGTGCCAACTGAAGCAGGTGCCTTGGAAGCCCCAATAGCCGCTGTTCTTGACTGGCACACAGTAATGAAGAACACAAGGACTACGGTACAGAATGGATCCTTCTGAATGCACTGGAGCACTTACAGAAAGAAAATAACAAGCTTGGGTCCTATACAGCTCAGTTCAAGTCATGGTCTGAGACATGGAAGGATCCCATGATAGCCCTAAAAGAATCCATTGCTTTGTTCTGCTACAGTGCTGATATGGCTGATAATCAAAACTTAATTGAGCAGCTTACTAAATTACAAGGTCGGATGAAGTCACATGTTATCAAATCTCTCATGTGAAAGTTAGAAAAAAAAAAATTCTAAAACTTGGAATAGGAACATCTTGTTGAGACCACCCAAGTAAAACTAACAATCCTGAAGCCAAGGTCATTCTGAGCCTTCATAGCAATTAAAAATAGCTTGCCATTCTGGGTCTGAGAAGATGAGCCTTTCTTTGCCTGAAAACCCTATGATAACTTAATGTAGGACAAATGTCTTTAAAAGGGATGTTCATTTCCTCATGAGACCCAACACAATGAGGATCAAATCCATAACTAGGGTCCTATTTCAGTATGATCCAGGGGAATTAGTATAAACTGTAACCCAGTAGGAAATAGGAAAAGAATTACAAGATTTTGCTATTACATTTCAGCAGCAACCCAGAGAACATGTGCAGGAGTGGATTCTAAGAAGGATAGGCCGGGAAGGGTAAAACCTATAGCACTACATCAGGCTGAATTCATTGATATGGGTGCACGTACTAGAGATTCCAGATTTCACATGTTAGTTCATGCAGCTGGAGGTAGTTTAACTGGTTGTTTGACTAAAACTTATACTTAACCATGGTCTGTGTTTGATGAAGGTAAAATGTCAGAGCATCTCTGGCATGTGGACGGGCGAATTCAAAGGCTCAGAGAGATGGTCTCATTGGGGTACCTTTACCATGTGTGACTTGCACACCCACTCCCCAACCATATTCAGCAAGAGCATCCAGAAGCCACTCCTTTCACTAAGGCATTGAGAAATACATTGGAGAGGAGAGCACTAGCATCCTTGATAAGCCCTGTGGTTGCTCTCCCTTGGAGGCAGGTATGACACCAAACGATACATGATTTCAATGTATCCAGTTGGCAGGGGCCAACTGACAGTACTTGACCACCAATAGCAAACTGAGAGCATCCTTCATAAAGGGAAGCAGGGAGGTACTATTATTTAGAATGCTTAGCCAACAGAGATCTTTGGTGGTGGTTAGTCGACTAGGGTGTTCCTGGAAAAGAAACAGATGGTCTGCCTATTAAAGTATTCCTTGATCAGTTTAACAGAAAAGAATATCTAGGTGTGGTAGACAGAAACCTGCCCTAAGTTGCCATTGCTACAGTGGAGAGTTACAGCCTCTTACACAGTTTCCAGATGCAAGTCAATTCAAAGACTCAAAGCCCCTTGATTAAGTGGAAAGCTGGGACCCCTTGAGGAAGGGCCCTGAAACATTACTACAAGTGCACACTATAAATCTTCCTCCAAAGGAAAATTGCAGCCATTTACTAGAGTGACTGTTTACTGGGGAAAAGGAAATACATAGGCTTTCAGCGAATACTAGATACTGGTTGCAAATTGACATCAAGATTCCTAGAGTCTTACAATATTACTGTGGTACACCATTTTTAATGATTTTTTGCTTTGGGATGTTTTGGGTAGGGATGGGGGTTAGTTAAATGGATTATGAGCCCAATGGGTCCAGTTGGTCCATTTAACTTGTGGTATTTCTCTTCAGTATCTGGATATTTAGTTAGAATTGCCACAACTGGCAGCTGACAGGATGCCCAATTGGTTCTTTGAATCTAGAGCAAGACAATGTTTATGTTTTGCTCGTGGATGTATCTCAAGTCCCTAGAATAGCATCTGGCACATAGTAGGTACCTAATAATTATATGTCAAGTGAGTGAATGAATGAATAAACCACAAAAGATATACAATTTTAGACTTCAAAATAATGTTGGCTTTCATGTCCAAAAGTCTTCTGCACTTCTTTGTCTAAAAAAATATTTTTTTATTAACCATACATAACAGAGCCTTCAAGTTGCTTATTTCTAGACATATTTCTGTCAATAATTAATAGCCATTTTTAGCATTATTTTCTCAGTGCTAGGAGTCACTGAGATTGACAAATAGAAAGTTTTAACAACTCTGGATTTTGTGTGGTTTTGACTTTCACTCTCTGAAAGGTCCTACTTTCAACCAAGCATCCTCAGAATTAATGAGTGGGCACAATTTTCCTCTTTCTTTCCTATAGTAAAGCTGCTTACGAGCAAAGAATCCTAACTCTGTCTCCACTTCCGCCTCTACAGAAGGGCCATTTGTGTTGAAGTTTGGTTTTGGTTGGGCATTAACAGTAAGAGAGGATGTTAGGAATCATAGGAAAAATCCTATATATTTGCTCTTTTACCCTACTGCCTTCCCAGCTCTGCTGCTAAACTAGTGTCCCCACATGTATGTAGTTGGGGAGGATAAGAATGAGTACTCAACCTAAAGTCCTATAAAATAGTTCTTCAGCAATATTAGCACCAAACTTGCATTTAAGATGAAAAAGAAATAAAAAGCTAGAACACTGACCTGTGTGATATAGATTATTTTGTGCAGCTGAATTAATATCTGCTGAATAGGATCGCTGATCTGACGTACTTTCCTCTGGGACACAGCAATTCCTGCTGATGCTGTGGGTGATAAATTTTGTAGTTAGTCAAGTTCTCTTTCAAACGTTATATTAATGAAAAAATGAAGTAAAATTCTAACAATAATTTTAAAGTAAAGACTTCACCTTATCAGTGAGACAATATGCAGAGACCCTGTAGTACTTCAATATTTTATGACATGGAATAAACAATATCTTCCTTTTACTTCTCAGACTTCTAAGTAACACAATGATATTACCTGTAATAACATCTGAAAGACTGCTTATCGCTTGGACATTTTGCTGGCATTACAGCAGGCTGCCATCAGGAGTCAGCAGTGCCTTAGATACAGTGGCCACTGAAAAGCCAGGCTTCAGACATGTATAGTTAAGAGGCTATCATGCTTTTAAATTTTAAATTCATTATGCCCTCCATGACATATTTTAAGACTAATTTTATCAAAACTATGAAATGTATACACTGAATAGACATTCTTACAGAGCAAAAAAAGAAAATTTCTTTTAGCTAGAATTAAATAACTTTCAAACCTTTGATTATTACAAATTATAATTTTCACCTAGATTTCTCTCCAGGTCTAAGTGGGGCACATTTATAATTTATCCTGGATTCTCATCATACAGCCACACCACCTTCACAGTTTTCAGACTAATTTGGTGTCAAATTGTATGTTAGCTGCTTTTCCAGAGTCCTCTGTCATAGCCACAAACAGTCTGTTTTTAACCTGAGGACTATACAACTATTTAAAGGAATGGCTTTTGTCTCCAGATTACCTACAAGGCCACCTCTGCCTCTTTTCACTCACAGAACCACACTGGATAAAACAAAAAGAGACTTCAGATACATGATGTGCATTATCTTCCTTCCTTTCTCTTCCTTCTCTTTCTCTTTCCCTTCCTCCCCTTAACCGAGAATGTGCTTTCTGCAATAAAACTTTTCTTGCCAATTTCCCTTAAAAAAAAAAAAAACAGTTGAAAGTTCCAAAGACCCTCTTTTCTTCCCTTCACACATTGAGCCACTATGAAGTTAAACATGAAGATAGTCATTGCTTTAACAACAGCTAAGCATTTTTAAAAACGCTTCTTTTATAAGCACTTTCTGAGAAAGCTTGCATATTTTACCATAAATATTTTGTTTTCAAGACATTTAAAGAGAACGTTCAATGTAGTCATTTAAAAGAGTCAACTTGTTTTATTATAAGCATATGAAAATGTATAAAGACATAAAATGCAAAAAAGAATAAAATATAAACATTCAAGGAAATACTGCTTTCTTTACAGATATCTTTACTGAGTTAGTTTATAATTTAGCACAAGAAATAATCTAGTTCTAGCTCATCTCCAATTAATACCTTGTTTAAATGTTTGAAATTTAAAGAGTCTATATCCCATGGACACAATGTTTACTCCTTTTAATATCAATTATTTGATTATTAATATGAGGTTTAATAAATACCCTTGGGATAAAAATATAAAGAGGCAAATAGAAAGAGTTGATGTAGCTCTAAAATAGAAAACAGAGAGCTGGATTGTCTGCTCCATCTTGTGGAGATGGTCAAGTGTACACACACCATATTTTCTACAGTAGTGCTTCTTGGAGAAATAATTATTAAAATATAACTGTTTGTCTAGACCCAAACCAAATACTAGACACTGTGCAACATGACCAAGTTGATGTTGCTACAGAAAAATTAACTTTGCATTTTCTGAAAATGGAGAGCTTGGTTTTTTAAAATCATTTTTATACAAAGTACTTTATGTTTTTGATTTCTAGATGTAACATTCATAGGTAATGAGCTAAAATCTCACAGCATGGCAGAGAGTTCTTAGGTCTGTGACGACATTTTGAATGGGATATCACATAGGTTTGACTCTACCTTGCCACAAGAATGTGCCCATCTGTGGCCCTAAATACAAAAACAAAGAGTTAGCTAGAATGTCTGCCTTCTGAATTAATCAACTATCCAATTTTTTTAACTTAAAAATTATTTTTCTTGAGACCTTTTGACCACTACCCTCACAATCCCAAAACATCCTTGACTTTTGGAAATACTTTTGATTACTTAGTTATTAAAAAATAAAGTTAAAAATATTTAATTACACATGCCCCTATAAAAACAAGCAAGCAAACAAACAAAAATGTTAGTATTACAAATGAGAAATGAGATTCAAGGCTCCTAGGAGCCACCATCCATCACAGCCACCTCCCCAGAAATAACTTGTGATATCGGAGTGGTGTGTTGACTTCCACTCACTTTTCTATCCATTTACATACATAAATGTATACTTCAAAACGGTACTTTTCAAACCATACTTGAGTCCTGAGGCCAATGTTAATGAGTCATGATCAGCATTTTGAAAAATGATATCAAATGAATTGGAACTAGATTTTAAAATTTCACAGTACATTGGAAGGGTCCACTCAGTCAAGACGTAAAATGTGTTTTCTATTGATAGTCATTTCCAAGCGTTTGAAAGCTACTATTATGGAAAATCTACAGTAGTCTGTCCGTTCTCCCTTCCTCCTTTCCTCTATTTCTCCCTTGCACTCTTCCTCCCTTCTTTCCTCCCTCCTTCCTTCCCTTCCTTTGTAAACAAATGGTGACACATCACATCACATAAACTGTTGTACAATTTGTTTTTTTCACTTTTTTCACAGTCTATCATGGAGATTGTTTATTATCAACATGTGCTGTTCTAGCCCATTCTCTGTACCACTGAAGACCACTATGTGTCCTGGATGCACTGTAGTTTACATAGCCACTTCTGTCTTAGTGGACACTTAGTTTGCTTTCACTTTCTCATGATAATAAGTGATGCTGCAGTGAATATACACCGGCATGCCTCACTGTGCATAAGTACAAGAGTTCTTTTAGGGTAGACACAGTGAAGTGAAATAGCTGGACCCGAGGATACATTGTAACAAATACATTTTTAGGTGGCTGAGTCAATTTACACTCTGATCAGAAAAGAATCCATTTTTCTACACCTCAGTCAACATTATATATTATCAAACTTTTCCGCTGTGCCAATCTGATTGTTTTTTGTATTTATCTAAATGCTAGTGTGGTTGCTGTACTTCTTTGGTAAATTTCTTGCTTGTATCCATAGTTCTTTGTTCTTACTGATTTGTAAATGCTCTTTAGATATTCTGAATACTCATCCTTTTATTGAGTTTTTTAAAAATTGAGACAGGGTCTCACTCTGTCACTCAGGCTGGAGTGCAGTGGCATGATCACAGTTCACTGCAGCCTCTGCCACCTGGGCTCAAGCAGTCCTTCTGTCTCAGCCTCCCGAGTAGCTAGGACCACAGGCACGCACCACCATACTCGGCTTTTATATTCTTAGTAGAGACAGGGTTTTACCACACTGGACAAGCTCGTCTCGAACTAGGGTTTTACCACATTGGATAGGTTTGTCTCGAACTCCTGGCCTCAAGTGATCCACCCACTTCGGCCTCCCAAAGTGTATTTTTATTCTTCATTTAAAGGTTATTAACTGCCAAGCATTTGGCAAGTATTAGCCATATCATTTTATCTAGCTTTAAAAACATTCTCTCTCAGTAAATCTTTTAGATTAGCCCACTGAAAATACTACACTTCCTAACTGTTCACCAAAAAAAAAAAAAAAAAAAAAAAGCAGCATATGTTTATATTACCAATTTTGTACTGAGAATATTTGTATTAAAACAATTTTTTATTAAAAAGACATCTATGAGGCTGATCACAGTTCATGTGCAATGTCAGTCATACATAAGATGCCCCTGATCCATGATTAATATCTATGTGGTATTTCCTACTGCAAATATATATACACAATATTTGGTCTCCTTAAAATTTAAATAAAATCAAAGTTTAAAATATTGGGATACTTTGCAGTCTTTTACAGTTTTTATTGAAATAGTAAATTTGACTAGTGTTTTAGAACTTAGAAGGAAACTACAAAATTTCTTATAAGAGGCAATTTACTTAAAAGTGTCAAAAAGTCATTACATAATTATATTTGCTGGCTTACTCCGTGGCAAGCATGACACTAAAGAGCTATTTGTTTCCCCTTTGCAGAGTTAGGTCAGAGGACTTGCAAGAAGAGCAGTCCTTCTTTTTTAGCAGGGACTTGGGTGAGACACTGGGAAGTGTTTTATGTATTTAGTCTCCTTTAATCCACAGAGGAGACTAAATGTGTAAAACACCTACCAGTGCCTGTAAACTGTCTGCTCCTTTATTGGTGTAGATTCTATCCCCATTTTACAGATGAGGAGACTGAGTGCGATGATCTAAACGCTTCTGAACCACCAAAATTCACAGGTTGAAATCCTAATCCCCAAGGCAATGGCATTTGGAGGAAGGGAGCTTGGGGGATGATTAGGTCATAAGGGCGGAGGCCTCAGGAATGGAATCAGCACCGATTATAAAAGAGGCCAGAGGGAGGTGGTCACCCCGCTCTACTACGCAAGGACACAGCTAGAAGGCGCCTCTGGTTACTGCAAATACAAAACAATATCTCCTTCCCATCTTGAAATATTATTTCTTTTCTTAAAAGGATTGCTACTTTTAACAGGATGTTCTACCTATCTCTCTTAACATTTAATTAACTATTTTTGGAAAGCACGTAGATATAAAAAGCTGGAAGCATTAGGTCTTTACAGCTATTGCTGTGCACTACATTCTGCTTTAGTATCTCATTGCACAATAAAATAGCCAAGTTAGTTGCCCATCTCTGGTGCTTTGACACGTGATTTATACTATATGTCCATTCTATTGAAACTATAATTCACAACATACACTTTGAAGCTGTCAATAACTACAAATGAAACCCAGAAAAGTGGGTTATACTGTATTCTCCCAGTTGACCAAAACATGGTATCAATATATTATTTTTCTGAAATCTCTCAGCTAAGAATCAGGAACTTTTGGACAACTGGAGAAAAAAAAGGTTAAGGAAGGAAATCCATGAAGAAGCAAAAAAATATACTGTTTTCATGAATGGGGGGCCAAAACATACATGAGCTTCTCTATATTGGACCAACAATCTTGTCAAACTACAATACAAATTTACTCTCACCTCTTAACTATCATAACAATGAAATAAAGTAACATAATTGTAGTTCAAATCTATAAATGTTCAGCAATCAATCCCTGTGTCCCTGGTTAGATGAAGAATCTTGAACTCATAAGGATTACATGGAAGGTTCACCCGGACAACCATGGATGTGGGATAAAGAGCAGATTCAAATGTTACATTTGAGAAGACCAGGAAGAATTAGAAGGCCTTCAATAGCACAGGAAATGTATTGAGTGTGAGGGAAGCTGTATGTGAGTGTGGGTTCTTAGGAGAAGGAATAATTCCAGCAAAGGGTGAAGTCAGCTAAGTGACAGCTGCAACTGAAGAATAGCAAAGTGTTCAGTTTAGCTGGTGTGCAGCACGATAAAAAAAAAAGTACAGTATGTATACAGCTGAAGAGGTAGCCAGGGACCATACACGATGGTGAGGAGAAATAAGGCTGATTTTATTTCAGGAGAGGTGATCTCACTGGAAGAGGCTCAAACAGTTGAAGTCAGAGGCCTGGCTTGCATTGTCTCTCTGCTAGGTACTAGCAATATGGTTTTCGGAAAGTCACAATGTCTTTGAGCCTTAGTTTCTTCATCTGAAATGGGAGCATGGTAAAAATGGGACTAGCACCAAGGGTGCTGAGGTCATACATGTTGTGGGGTAAATCAGTCTACAGTGCCCTGTAGCTGTTTCCACGTGGGGAGCAGGAGCCAAGGACTGCTGAAACTCGGGGCTGAGACACTGAGAATATGATGTTCCATCAGAGGAGAGAGGGAAGTGACAGAGGAGATGGTGCATGGATGATGGATACTTCCCAACACAGAGCAGCAGACCATTCTATAATCAAACAAAAATTGTTCAGAAGGAGCTTGGCAGTCTAGGCCTACATGCCCCTGCTACCCCAGCCTCCGGTGGAGTTTCTCACGGAATGGCAGGAAGCTGAGTCAAAGCATCAGCTCCTTTCACCTCTGGGTGATCAGGCAGCAAACTTCCTTTCATTTGAAACTTCAGGAACAAGCTGTTTAAAGGCCAGACGCAAGGCTGCTTTGAAGTCCTTAACTCTTGAATTCCGGCTGAGCCTCTTTCATGTCATGTGTCTTATGTTCCTATAATGGGTAATGTCACAGTATATTTAACTAATAATCTACACCAATAAAGGAGCAGACAGTTTACAGGCCTGTAGTGTTAGAGGTTAACCTGCTGAAATTAATATACTGGTATGATTTTACTCCCAGTCAAGAACTTGATCACAAAAATGCTATCATTTTATTACCCTATAGAAGTTCTACCAGTCTTACACTTAATTTAGCAATCTTATTTCAGCTTTTTTTACTTGACTAACTACATAAATCTCTGTTCTTCAAATGCTCTTGAATCAGCTTTTATGTCTTCCACCTGGTTCTATCATTAATGGGTTGAAAAAACTCAGACACTTGCTAAAGAATAACTTTAAGAATTGTGCTTTTGCACCCCAATATAAAAAATAATAAGTAGTTACATAAACAGAAAATTTTTTAATTGACATACTATATGAAACATCCCAGATAAATTACTGAATCCATACTGAGCAGAGTCCATTAAGAATGAACAAGGTTCCAGCTATAGTGGAGGGCAGGCAGGTAGCCCAGAGAGAAGAAAGAGGCCTTTTGCTTTCAGGAGAGGGTAGTGCTGTAGCAACCATTATAGAATGATTTGGACGCAGCCTTAGTTATATCATCATTTTTCTTGAAGAAAGGGAATTAACAGAAGCTTAATGACTGGTTCAATGATTAATACTCCCTTATGGTTTAAATGTACTCTGAGATCCTTAAAAAAAATACTCCCCAGACAGGAGCCAACACATGGATAGAATCTTAGC